GGAGTCTCCCCTTCTCCAGGAGAGCGTGGAAGACCGTTGGAGAGGCCTCCAACACCCAGTTGGTGAGCCCTCCTCTTCCCTTGAGTGGGAAGCATGGCTGCAGTTCCCCCGGCTGCAGCCTGAGTTCGTTTTGAACTCTGATGGTCTCCACAAGACCGTCGCGTGTGACGTCCGGGTCAACGTCGAACAGGATAACCTTCGGTCGGCGCTTCTGGGGCAGTCGGCAGTTGACTGCCTCTCTGAGCGCCTTGGGGCCCGCTGTTAGTTCATTTTGCAACTTTTGGACATCCTGGTGCCTTGCAACCTCTACCAGGACGCCGTTATTGCGTACTCTCCGCACGTTTTTAATCCCGATGCCTAATTTGGCAGGGTTAACGTGAGATTTCAGCAGTGACTTTGTACTGTCACTTGTCATCTGATCACTCGTAGGAAAGACCAGGAGCGTATGCTCCTTGGTAGGAACCCTACGTGGCTTGGCAGCTTCCCGAGGACCCCCTTGGATTTTTGGTGGGGCCGGACGGGCAGCAACAGTGGCGTACGTGGCACCACCGGCTGTGCGTGCCTTGCCTTCCTTTTTATTACCTGAAGGCGCAGCGAGCGGCAACGAATTGTCACTCTTGGCCTCTTGCAGGATCGCAAGTTTTGCCCGGAGAGAGGCAATCTCGATCTCCTGGGCGTTAACTATGCTAGTTATTTTACTAAACAGGTGGTAAATAACAGCACATGTGGCTTTCTGACACCTACTGTCAGTACGTGCGAGGAGCTTGGTCAGCTCATCGTGCACGCCATCGAGTGCCTTCCGCCTGCATTCGACCATTTCAAGCTCTTCCCGTGTTTCCACAGGCGCCGACAACGGTGTTTCAGCTTTGGTGGCCGGACTTATTTTCCCGGCCACCGCTGCGGTAGGGTCTTTCTTCTTGGCTTTCGCCTTCGACCCGCCTTTGCTTTTGGAGAAGGGTTTCCCCTTCTTCACGGTCACCGCGGCTTTAACGGTTTTGTCTTTGGGTTTGTCGCCCTCAGACTCTGCCGTTTTGGCCTTGGCCGCCATTGCCCGTTTTTGTCTTCTCCTGGCTTTGGAGTTACCAGGAGCGGGCCTCCACTCGCTCTCCCCACCAGAGGAGGCGGAGTCAAAAACGTCTCCAGAACCTGAGTGACTCGACTCCGAATCGGAGTCGCTACTCACTATGGAGGTTGGCGCTTTTGCAGCGGCAGTTTGCCCATCACACGTGGGCTCGTGTGGTTTGTCATCGGCGGGCGTGCGCGAGCGCAGATTCCGCCTGTCTTGCTGTTGGGCGACAGCCTTCTCGCCTCCTTCCACACGTTCTCCCTCAGCAGCAACATCATCATGATCGCCAGAGATCACAGGTACGGGATCCGCACAGGTAGCACCCTTAAAGTAATCGCTTGTACTTTTGTCTTTGGCCATCATAATAAGTAAATAAAGAAAGAGGGAATTAGGGTAGTCCCGACCTTTCACGGGTGCCCTGAATCCGTTTGGGAGTCAAAGTATGCGTTTAAGAGCCAGCTCTGGCTTCGGTCTTACTGAGGGCTCATTTTGGCCCTCTTGTTGCCGGGCCGTCACTGCTTGGCCCGCTGCCGGGACAGCTACCCATTTAAATGGCCTCCTACCCAAGGTCACCCCAGCCCGGCTGGTTGCTCGGCTTGGGCCGCCCCATCATCCCTACTAGGAGACGCTCTTCCCGTTTCTAGTCCTCTGAGACTATATACGGCCATCCAACGCATCGTCAGGCCTGTGAGCACCACTCCCCCCCAAGGGCATAAGGAAGGTGGCCCTATGCCCGAAGAGTGGCTCTGCCAACTGCCCGTCAGGATAGACACCAGCTAGCGGAGTCCTACAATCCACTGTAGGCGCTACCCCCCTGGCCACCAGCGAGGCTTCGGCTACGGGAGTGCTACTCCTCGCCCCACTGGCTTCGATATGCAGGTCGTGGCCCCCAAGCCAGCACCGGGTGTGCGAAGCCCGGTCTTCCTCTTGGGAAGCTGGTTCTTCTTTTACCGGACAGAAGGAGCTTTACGTGGTTTGCGTTACCACGGGCAAAGGCTGCGTCGACTGCATTCAACCGCCTTTATCGTGAGAACATCGGTCCCGTGCCACTGGGTGGATGCGGGAGTTCACCTTGTGTGTCTCAGATTCCGGGGGGTGCGGATTGTCAGGTCCATGGCCCCCAGTTTCTGTACCGACGNTAAGAACCACTCCCCCCCAAGGGCATAAGGAAGGTAGCCCTATGCCCGAGGAGTGGCTCTGCCAACTGCCCGTCAGGATAGATACCAGCTAGCGGAGTCCTACAATCCACTGTAGGCGCTACCCCCCTGGCCACCAGCGAGGCTTCGGCTACGGGAGTGCTACTCCTCGCCCCGCTGGCTTCGACATGCAGGTCGTGGCCCCCAAGCCAGCACCGGGTGTGCGAAGCCCGGTCTTCCTCTTGGGAAGCTGGTTCTTCTTTTACCGGGCAGAAGGAGCTTTACGTGGTTTGCGTTACCACGGGCAAAGGCTGGGTCGACTGCATTCAACCGCCTTTATCGTGAGAACATCGGTCCCGTGCCACTGGGTGGATGCGGGAGTTCACTTTGTGTGTCTCAGATTCCGGGGGGTGCGGATTGTCAGGTCCATGGCCCCCAGTTTCTGTACCGACGCGGGGTTTGAATCCAGAAGCTTCGGCGTCCACTGTGTGCTCCTATGTGTAATAACAGGGACATAACCCATGGGCCCGGGGTACAATGTGCATCACGCTACAAGCTGACGATTTGACCGTCGCGAGTAGGGGGACTCGGGACCGTTTGCGAAAGCAAAGAGTCCCTACCACGTTTCGGCAGCGCCCCTATCGTGTGCCATCACACCGCAGGCCAACGGGTGCCTCCACTTCCGTCGGCCAGACTACCAACGTCCATCGACGTAAACGCCAATTTTCGTCAGACAAGTCTAATCGACTACACTCCATATATCTCGTCCGAAGACGAGTCCTCCCTGAGAACCGTGTTAGCGACGGCTACGGCGACCATCCCCCAGCTCCGGACTTACTGAGGGCTCATTTTGGCCCTCTTGTAGCCGATACTATTAGGAATGGCCCCGTGCCTCGATCGCACCAGTCTCCCTTCTGTTTTGATGTGAGTCTGCATGCCACAATGCCAATAAGCAGCTCTTATAGCCGTCCGTTCCAACGGGGATAGGTTCCAGAATAGGGAGAGATCGAAACCCCGCTGGGGTCGCCCCTCACCGTAGAGCGACAAACGAACAGCAAGCTTTATAAAGGCTTGGTACACAGACCCAAAGCCTATGGTGTAATAACATCTCTGGAACCTTCGGCTCGAGTCGTAAAACTCCATCAGTGATCGAGACCAAGACGAGTCTTTCGGGACCCATTACCCGTCGTCTCTCGCCGCCTGGCCCCCCCGCCACGTCCAGGCCCGGTTCTCTATCCCGGGGGGGCGACCCCCTAGGACCATATTTTTTTTTTGTTTTTTACTCTTTCCGCCCTGTGGGCACTAAGAGGGCCTCTTTTTGCAAGCCCATTATGAGTTCGGCCAGGCCCACAATGGGGCTGCCGGCTGGTGAGGGACGGGGTCCGACATAGCGGAACGGACCACCCCCGAAAAATTCCTGGGGATTATTCGAGCCCGGGTCCCCCAAAGCGGTAGGCTGCCACCTTGACCGCTAGGCCATCCGGCCACTACCCTAGGGCTATATTATAACTGTATCAGTGATTTTAAAAACTATGTATTTAATTTTCTTTTTGTTGAGACAAATTATTGTTGATTAAAGTGAAGATTTCAGAAGAATCGACAATAATTTAACACACATAAAGTATGAAACTTCCTTTAATTATAACATTCGGCACGGGAGCTGTTGACATTTTATGTTTTTTTTTTGTTTTTGTTTTTTTTTTAGGATCAGAATTTTCAGCTTCTACTTTTCTACTTTTTATTTCTTTTTTGCAAATCAGCTAAACACTTTTTCCGCTATCATTTTCTGGGATTGGCCGAAATTCTCGCTGAAATTGTAGTTTTTTTAATGTAGTGTAAGACCTGCAAACACTTGTCTTTTTCTTCTACCCGCGACCCCCCGTGTAAGGCTTCGCGATTCCCTGAAGGGTCGCGACCCACAGGTTGAAAAACACTGCTCTATTGTATTTGTGTTCGTGTCATCTGTTACGACATTTACTAATAAAAAGCTTTTTACATTATTAACTATTATAATTTAGCAAAAAGCTTAATTTTGAGAATAGTGACGAGTTTTTATGAAAAAAGGAGAAGAAAATTGTAAATGATGATAACGAGTTAAATCTTCATTAAGTACGACCGCACTCCAGATATGACGACGACACACGATTCCTTCCATCTCGACCTTTAACCATCAAACTTTCATTGCATCAATGCTCTTTAATGCTATACACAAGCTACCATGCCAAATTTCTTTGTTAATCTTTACTCCATCCTGACATATTAAACGAAATAAACGCCAACAGGCAGAGACACGCGAAATTTTTCCCTTTCTTTGACATTTTTAGGTTTAAGAAGTCTCAAAACATGCAGATTTGCAAAAATCTGCAAAGTCAAAATTGACACAATTCCAATACTTGCCGTTGCTATGCATACATAACGGGCGGGAAGTCAAATTAGTAGAAAATTAAGAAATCCAAAGTTCTAAACTGTACGTTAATAAAATAATTAAACAGGATTCTAAAGCAAGAAATTGTTTAATTCTATCTGCTTCCGTCTCCGAGAATATTTGGAAAAGGATTTCCCCATATAAAAGCATTAAATTGTATCTCAATCTTCTGGAATTTGCAGCATAACCAAACAGGTTACAATCAACCAAGTTACATTTTAAACAGTTTTTAGAATATAAAATAACACTTAACTGTTTATACTTTGTGCTTATATCTTCATAATTTTTAGAGTAAAGATCATTTATAAAGAGCGCTTTCTCGTTCGGAGAAATTTAGCCATTAGAATAGACATTAAAGAAACATGAAACTCACCTTAGTTATTAGCGTATTATAATAAATCGATCTGTCGTAATTCCATCCGAATTTGCAGTCAGTCACGGGCCAACTTTTATTGGAAGACGACACGTTGTTAATCAGGTAATCCAAAGCCACTTTGGTGTAGTTAACGTCGTACATTTTACACTGACTCGGTTGCCATTCTCCTTCTCTCTCCTCCCAAGGGATACTCAGATTCTTGACCTCATCCAAAGCAATCCCGTAATTTTCCAGTTCTGGTATTTTGCACCAATGTTCGGGAGTGGCGAATACAAAAACATAGCTGAGCATGATAAATGCCAAAGGAAAATTCATAGGTATTAATAAAGCGCAGTATAAAATAATCTGGTATCGTCCGAAGCCTCCCAAAATGGGTAAAACATCGTCGAAGTTCATCTTCTAACAGTCTTGCACGCTATCGATGAATCTAAATATGTACAGTACAGTATTAATGAACAACTGCATGCATTAGAACCTGTTTGCAATCATGCTGCGCATTAAAATTAAAAGTACTTGTACAATGATGAGGTTTGAAAATTTTTGTGTAGCGTGAAAGTAATTCAGGAAATGTTCTTGAAAACGTCCTTCGCGAAGTTATTCGAACGTATTTCCGATTTGTGATTTTACAGGCTGTTTCCGAAATAGTGGGACAAACTTCGGGAAATGATTCTTCGTAGAATATAGAAAAAATACAGCAACCAGTTGCTTAGCTTTCCCGGCAACATTTAAAACTGCGTGTAGCGCCATGTGTTATGATATTTTATTTTAAATTTTATAAAAAAAATTATAAAATTAAACAAAATATAATTTTTAAAATTTTATACTTTTAAGCTTTTTTTCTGTTTTATAATAATTAACTTTGATGGTATAGATGAGTTTTATAATAATAATAAAAAACTTGTAAGTGCTAATAACAAGTAAAATCATCATTTTTTTCTGACTCTACCAGAGATACAACACGCTATCTCCTCCACCTCTAACCACCGAATCAAAATCATGCCGCGTATATATGTATGTATATACATATATACATATAGAAAAAAAACAGAATTTTATTTTGCATTTTACGATGTTTCAAGATCTCATCGAGTCCAAAAATGTAAAAGTCATGGAAAGAGGCTCAATTTTTGATCGATTGCGATACTTTCCCTCTTATATGTAACAGTCAGTAATGTAAAAATGTATATAATCATATGTCCTGAATCGGGCGCTTTTTGAGGAACATCATTTTGTTCATTATTTTCATGACCATTGTTTAATTAATAACTGTAACATATATAAAAATAATGTTAAAATCCTATACAAAGAGAAAATCATGTATAATAGAAGATTTAAAGAAAGTGTCTCAATTTTAAAAGCCAAAAATTGTATCAACAAAAATTTAAGTGTAAAAATAAATGAAAACTGGATGAAAATATTATAATATAAGCAATACAAATTAATATTGATGTAATTATTTATAAAAGTTACCCTATTGTTAATATTAATAATAACTGTCTTTGTAATATGCAAATCATTACAATACCTCAATGCAATATGTAACGCAGGTACGGTTAAAAAGGAATAATGTAACAAATCGTCTATTTCTATTTTAAGATATGTACGTGATTATGTCTATGACCCCTGGATACTGTCAAAAATATATAAGAAAATCATTTATAAAAACTTTTAATTTTTAATTTATAAAAAATTTTTAATGAAATTACTCCACTTCTTGTAAAATAAGTTGTGTACGCCAATTAAGACCTTGTATGTATAACAGATTAAAAATGAATATGGTAAGAAACATACGTTATTTTAATTCTGTTTGTAAGATATTTTATGTAATGTTTTAAAAATTGTATATATTTTTTAGTTGACTGATGAGGGGCTTTATGCCCGAAACGTGCTGTTGTCACGTATCAACTACAGTAAAATGATGGAAATAAAGCCAAGTGTTTATTTATAACTCAAATGTGAGTTTGAAGTCCAATATATTCGCAAAACACGGTTTCGAAAACAACATAATATCCTTTTATTCTGCAAAGCGTGTTCTGGGCATCAGTATATAGGAATTTTATGCAAATATCATAAAAAGTTGCTGTCATTCGCATACAATTCATAATCCGCCGTTTTGCAATTACTTGTATGTGTTATATTTACAGGGAAAACTTATTATTGTGTTCCTCTTTCTAGGGATAGTGACGAATGTGTTTTCTAACCATGGGCGTAGCCAAAGTTTTGTTATGGGGGCCTAGTAGAGGCCAACCTGACACAAAATTGAATTATTTCAAATTATTGTTCATTAAAATGAAAATTCCATGATAATCGACGATAACTTAACACACATGAAATATGAAACTTTCCTTAATCATAACATTGGGCACAGGAGCCGTCGACCTTTTTTTTTAGTATTCAAAATTTTTAGCTTTAAGTATTTCTTTCTGTTTGCAAATCGGCTCAACACTTTCGGCTGTGATTTTCTTGGCGGGCACAAGGTTCACTGGGGGCGTGTCCACCCAGGCCTCCCTCGCTACGCCCATGTTTCTAACGTTAGCTGAAAAAGTTACACTTTCATTTTCTATAATAACAGACGTGTTATACAAACATCTTTCGCAATTTTACTCTTCGATGAATGATTATAAATGTATTTTTACAATATCGTAAATAAATTAAACTTATGATTTATCACTTATTGCATTATATTTTTCTCAGTTAAAAGTCTCTTAGAGAATAACTATTTAGAGTTTCGGATAAAACAATTCTATTGATACACATGTAATGTGTATCAATAGAATTGTGTTGTGTCTCTCAATACATTTGTGTTGCTACACAAATAAATGAAAACTACGCAGATCGAGTGCTCTTCTCCTGTTCACTTTGATGATTAAACAAGTACAGTGAAAACTGCTTAGGCGACTACTTGCATTCGATGGGCACCTGTCAAAACGGGCAAAAATTTCTGGCACCGAATAGTTTATCCATAGAGTCTTCGTACAAGTTACCTGTATTAAACGACCAAACACAACCGCGGGCATCGATTTTTGGTCCGAAACAACATACAACTGTAATATGCGATCACTTCCGCGAATATATCTAGTCTAAACTATTGTTCAACACTGTTTTCCCCTCCTAATACAGTATAATGAATTAGTCTAAATTCTCGTTCTAACCCACCTTCCACCCTTGAAATTAGGTGCAGGTGTTAATGAATTAGTCTAGCAACAAAGGAAATTAATTTCAGTTTGTCCAAATTGTCCGAAAAACGAAAGAAATGCAAAGTGCTGTCGTTAGTAGATCATATTAAAATTATCATAACAGAAATTAGCGGCGAAGTTTAACTGTGGGAAAACGAAATTCATTTTACCCTAGACCTACAGTATTTTCCTTGGGGATGTAAAATATTGTACACGATACACTTAATCGGCTGATCTCATCGTTTGATAAAATTTATTTTTACTTATTTATTTTGAAGCTCATATACAGTACGGTACATGTGCGATAAATAGTTTCTGTATTAATCTACCTTATTTCCACGATATTTTTAGAAAAATGATATACAAGTAATTTTCGCACTCAAAATGTTCAAAGAACAATAAACGCATTAATGCAAAAATCAACTTTACAGGCAAACTTCCTTTTTCGATTCCGCAATGAAAATCGCGGAATGTAACGAAATCGTATAATGAGAAGAAATAATAAAATCGTTTTATTATTAATTAATAAATTTTCTTATTGTACTTAAGAAAATATTAAAAAATACAGTATTTTTAAAGTTAAAATAAGATTAAACTAACGAATACCAAAATGAAAGTGATGTACAGGAACGACGCGCTTGTATATCGATGACGTAATACACGTAACTGAGAAAAGAATTAAGTCGAATTAATTAAGTCGGAAAAAAGAAAGTGTGCTTTATAATCGAGAAAATGCGACTATTGTATTAATCTTTAAAATATTGGGATTAAGTCTGTCTTATAATATCACGACGACTCCTGTAAATCGGATTATCCGATAAGAATAAACTACAATACCAAAATAGCTCTATCGTTGAAAAGATTCTCTTATTTTTGTACACCTCGAGTTTTGCTTAGTAGAAATGGCTAAAAAGTGCGCAAAATACGTACGGAAATATTGTATTACAGCACCACCTGTATTGGACAATCACCTGTCTAAAAGACCACTTTTTGAAAGAACCAGGGGTGGTCGCCATAAACAGATTTTACTGTATTTGTGAATAATTTTCATAAGAAGCCAAAAATAAACTCTAAATTATTTACTTATTCTTTTGCAATATCGCTAAGAATAAACTTACATTTATCTTGCTTGTATCAGCTTATAAAATAACAATAAGAAATATTTTATATTAAACACTATAATGACAGTTTTCTTGGAGGGTTGAAATGATTTAATTTTACTAATATTAAGTAATATTAATGTTTATTTTTAAAAAATTAAATATAAATTACTAAATTAAAACGATGAAATGTGGGTCCAGACAATGCCGCAACTAAATACTTAATGGGCATTGACGTGATAGGACTTTTCCTGCTTTGAGTGGCTTCAGTGTAATGTTCGTAGATATTTTACTAAATATCACATCTTGAAAAAGCTGTGTACGTTCTCATTATCTAAAGACATATACTTTATTGATCCAGTAAATGATAATGGAATGTTTTGCTACCAAATTATTAATAGTAATCATATTAATGATGACAGAGATACAATTTACGAAAATGTTTAAAATACAGTCATTGATACTTTTATCTTAGTATGAAAACATCTCAAGATTTTTACGTTCCAACAAATTATAATCAGATGGTTAAGAACAGTCTATCTGAATTTCCATTTAAAATAATTACGGATTGAATTGAAACTATCCATTCAAGAAAACACAATGGTTGAAGTCACGTTCTAAATATATAAATCATATACAAGGTATATGATTTATAATTACAAAGATGTAAGGGAAATTTTTATAAAAATCTTTTTCGAATTTTACTTTTCCTGACTGTTATATATAACAGAGGGAAAGTGGTCAAAAAATGACCCCTCCCCAAATTTTTACATTTTTGCACTCAGGAGAACTTGAAACGTAGAAAAATAAATAAAATAAAAATTCTACGATTTCTTTTTTATGTATTAATGTTAGTGTGTGTGGGGGACACGATTCTGTCCACCATCTTCGAAGCTTAATAACTCCAGTGCTTTTGTCGAAAATTTCTAAAATTTTGCAGGGAGAATTGTGTATTGAGAGAATTGATGCTATTAAATTTTGGTTTATTAAAGGTCAAGGAGGTGGGGAGATAAAGGGGGTCGTGTGTATCTTTCAGTAGAGTCGGACTTAATTAATGACGATTTTACTCGCTATTAGCATTTACAATTTTTATAAAGCCCATCCCTACAATCAAAATTAAGCTTTTTGACATTTATAATAGTTTATTTTAAAAACTTTTTATATTTCAACTATGATAACAGATGGTGTCACCAAAATTTTAAATCTTGCCGGTTTATTATAATTGTAATATTTAAAGAAACTTAGTAGCTTTACCAAAATAAGATTAGGAGAGGAATAATAAATGACTTTCTTCTATTTTATAACATATTTATTACACAGATGTGATATTTTTAAGAAACTTTTATTGTAAAAGTTCTAAAAAATTCTGTAAAATTATGAAAAATTTTATTTTAAAATTACTTCACCGATGATCTAATAACATTCTTATTCTTAAACAGATTACATCAAGAGACAGTTCCGACCATATTTTGCGTTCCAAATCCACCATCATCAGTGTGAGTGAAAAGAAAGAATCCTCTGCAGCCCTTTGGATGGTGACATCCAACAGGAAAAAAAAGACAACTCCAGCAGGTAGAATATTGTTTTATCTATACGTATATATGACAATATCATGCAGAATACAGATTTCAAATACATCTTTTCTACGTATTCTACAGTAATGGAAGTACCACATCGAAGCCAACAATTTTAAGAGGATGAATTATTTGAACATCAGAATCTTAGCCGTCGGGATGAAGCTTCATTGCAAGTGTGGGCGACCTCTGAGGTAGGACGATATCGTACCTCCCTTTTGGTCGGCCGTTAAGCCTGCCCACTCGTCTAAGGATAACAGGGTTTGGGTTTTAAAGCATACAGGGTCAGGATTATTTGTATCAGGTCGAGTGAAGGAGGTCAGATAGGTCGTCGGTAAGGCGTCGGCGATACACGAGCAAAAGTCACCATTTAACAATAAAACGAAAGTTTATTAGATAACAAATAATTAGATACAATGACCAACATCGAGATTCTATCGACCTTGTATACTAGCTCCCTATTACTAGTTGAAAGGGACCGAGAGAGAGTTTACATTAATCATTATCGTACTCTGGATGCTGGACGAGGTGGTGGTCTGGAGTTGATATGGTACAAGAAATCAGTATCAGAGGGTTGTTTGATATTAGATGACCGTTTTCTTGACTGGCACGCACAGTTCTGCTCCTTCTCCCGCTCGACGACCACCCTCCTCCTCTCGAGTCCCCATTTTTATTTTCCATATCACGTTACTCTTTTACACCAATCGTGAATTTCAGCTATCAGTTCCTAGTGACACATTCAACGAGTTCCCTGGGAAAGGAAACAACTCCGGGGAGAGAGATGCAATCACCATCCGGTCATAAAAGTGGAGAATTTTCGAAAGATAGCCAAAATGAAATTGTTTTCCAAAATTTTCGTTAGGCCCGACCCTCACACAAGACACAGTTTCCTTGTCCAGACCTTGTGTTTATAGCCCTTGGTTACACCGACATCAAAGACACACACCAGCCTTTCTGTCTTAGTATTGTAGAATCTATGGCGGCACTTTCGGAATCTTTTCGAGATTCCGAAAGTGCCGCCATAGGGAATACCTAATTAAAATTCTACCAATATGGATAAATAATTTTAAGGCTTTAAAGTAATTTTTTTATTTAAGAAATAAAAATTAATCGTGCAATTTTACGTCGTATTAAACATAACCTTATTTCTCTGTATAACAGATTTTTAATGCTTATAGATTAAATTAATATATGTCATATATTTATCCGCTTAATAATTCTTTGTGAGAAAAATAATATCGAACGTAAAAGTAATACGATTATTTTGATTGTAATTTTATAAACGACGTTATTGTCCTTGTATGACTTGTTAGAAATACAAGAAGCATAAAATACGAAGAAAGAAAGTAATTACATCATTAAATATATAATTACAGTTGCTCTTAATGGGCATTACTACGGCACGTAGTGTTTCGGTCTAAATATGAAATCGATCCGAAATGGCTCCAAACTGTCACGTGCCAAATTTCAGCTTCGAAATCCACGTCCTTACAACTACGTAAGGGCTACATTCATTATTATTTTGTTTTTATTTTTTTACAGACTTTTCCGTGTACGTTTGCTGTTGTGAAACAACCAAAACAACAATTCTTTCAATTTGTCTGTCTCCTAGCGGAGTCTGTTACAAGCTGAAAAATACACTGTGCGATTTACAAGTCTGAATCTCGACAGCAAGATACCGAGAAGTTAACAAAAAAGTATAGGAAGAAAGTGGTATTATGGAACCCCTCCATTTCAAACTGATAATAAAGACGAACTGTAGCGGATTGTGGCTTAACTGCACTAGGCAGACATCCACAGCAAGGGAAAAATCCGTTTCACTTCAGTTAAACGGTTGTCCGTAGTGAATCAGCAAATTTGTTTTTTTCAAAATTCACAAGTTTTGAATGCTAAGTGAATTTAATTCTTTTTAAAATATAAATCGTGTAGTTGTAGGTTCACTGGTGCATGTATTCCGTTCCAGAGACTTAGGGGTACATATTAATCTGTGTGATGTTCACGTTTTTTAAATTTTGGTCTTGACAGACATAAGTTAATTCGAGATGGCGATGCGTGAAATACGGACCCCATTGGTGCTTTTACAGTAATATGGAACTCAACTCCTCCGAACTTTCTATTTGCAAGCAGACATTCCTCCAGAGCAATTTGTGAAAAAGACACTAGGTAGAAAGCCAATTCTTCCTGAGAATATCGAAAAAGAGCTGCTGGAATATATATTGTTGATGGAGGTCATATTTTTCTATTATAAAAGCATTTTTGCGATAAAATACATTGGAGTAAATAATTTTGTAATTATTTAACATTTTTTGTCCTTTCCTATTTGTTTTTGGCTACATTAAAGCATTTTTTTGAAAATATACAGTAAGGTTCCATATTACCACCCGATTTTCTCTAAGCCTACTTTCGGACTTTTTGTACAAAAGCCTTCAAAAACCATACTTACAGTTACACTAGCGAAAAATCCAATTAGGAACATTTAGTTTACTAGTTACCAGTACTTTTCGCTCAAAAAATGTAGGTGTAGTTATGATACCTTGTTTACAATTCACTATAATGAAAATGGGGATCCATAATACCACCTTCTCCTCTATATGTTCAGTTTCCCGTAATATAATGGCATTTCCACTGAAACTCCACACTTTTTAAGCCGCTGTTTGAAACAGTATGAAGTTTCAATGGAAATGTCATTGTTTTCTGTAGGAATAGGAACGTTAAACAGAGGGATTGTTTGACTGTTGACGCTATTCAAATAGCAAGATATTTTGCCGAAATTTGCTCGTTTATAAAATTATATTATAAATTATGAAATATTCAGTGCAGAATGTTATAGTGATTATAGTTTATCCAACATGAAAAAATAATCAAGAATTATCACAAAGTATTTTTGTAATAATGAAATGATTTAAATCATTATTTAGTAAGAATGAAAAGAATTTTATAAAGAGCAAACAAAGATAAAACAATTCCGACGAATAATCGAAGGTAAATAATCCGTAATAAATAATTTCTATTAGTTTCGATATAGCATTAAAATTAGCTTTAGACATTTTTAAAATACTGTATTTGCTTTCGTAAAATGAAATTTAAGCTAAATACAGTATCTACAGTTCTTTCATTGATTTATACATAAAAGTCAATTCGGGCTGCATTTACAAGTAAAATAATGCCTTTACCTTACGTCTCAGACTGTCTTATCTCCCAAAAAATTCCAGGAGAGTCACTCGGGATTAGTGGAACCAAGAATTTTGAAACTTGGCAGGGTTACTCACCTGTAAAAATCATTATTTTGAGATGAAAGACTGGATAGAAAATTAAATTTTAAGGGTTTTATATTATTTTCGAGGTTATTTATGTTCAGAAATTATGCACCTAAGATGAATATATGCATGCAATAAATTTTAACTGTTTCCTTTGCTAAATTAATTAATTATTTAATTTTTTCATTAACAAAATTAGTCATAAACGTATACTTTAAACCACGATTATCTAATAATTATTCTACATAAAATGTTTAACATTAATTATATAAATAATATAGGGCCATTCCTCATAATTGAAGAAGCGCACAATGAATGAAATCATCAATATGGTTAAAAACGAAAAAATTCGCAAAGAAATAGAAGATTTGGTAAAAAACATCGTTACAGATTTAATTTTTCTTGAAGATAACACTTTTGAGCTTTCAGCTAAAGAATACTGCAGTAAGATAATTAATGGAGCTCTACTCTCACCTGATGTTCAGACAGTAGTAGTGGAACCATCTCTACCTACAACAGCTCCAGTTGCATCCCATTTTTCTGAAGAAAAAATATTACCAGTCAAGACAGAAAACGAACCTTCACATCGAAATATATCACCAGATAATCCTGTAAATGTAGTAGAATGTGGAATCAAAAACCAATCTCCCACAAATTATGGGCTCTTCGTGGAATATCCATCAGAAAATATTATGAAAACTGGTTCAATTGTACAAGATGAAGAGAAAACTGATTCCACGAATGTTGTAACTCATCAGTTCACGTCTGAGCCAAACGTGGACAAAACGTTAGAAGTGGAAGCGAGAAAACGACCTACAAAAATAAATACCAAGTTAAAAAAGGACCCGTGCAACATAGTGGAGTGCGAAACGAAATTCAACAAACATCTCGAAGAATTCGTCATCGATGGCGAAGTTAAAGCGGAATTCGAGAACGAAACAACACTAACGCGTAAGAAGAGAATTAAAATTAATCCGGACATCCTGGCCAAAATAGAAACAGCAAAAAGAAGAAAGGTTCTGGAAAAACTGCTAGCTAGACCCAGCGAGAAAATAAAAAGTCTGCGTGGCGAGATCGCGGATTACCAGCCTGAAAAAGAAAAGTTATTACCTCCGGAATCGAAAATAATACAAGAGAAAAGTCAGATTAACATATTCCAACATCCCATTTGTCAATGTACTTCAAACTGTAATTGTGAAGAAAGTTGCAAGTATGATACATCATAATTAACTAAATGTTGCAAGATTAATTCAAACTACTTATTAAACATTACAGTCGAAAACATCTAAATAAGATAATGACGACAAAAAATTTCATAACTATCACCATAAATTGCAAGAATAAATATCTATCACATTTCATGATAGTTTAAGCAATGTGTAAGTTATATCAAATTTCAAACTGGTGTCATTTATTATGAGGTATGTATAAAGAAGAATATCAGTGCCTGGGGAGCTTTGTATAGATCAGTGTTTCTCAACCTCTAACGAATCGTCGCTCCCTTCAACGTAGTATTGCCCCCTTCAATAAAACCGTTACGTAGTATCGCCCCCTCCACTACAAAATACCGATGCCGAGGGTCAAGACTAACGCCAAATTCGTACTGCATTGAATACAGTAGTGACTAGTATAATGCTATTTGTTTAATTATAGTACGATATAACGAATAAAATATCTAATTATTCTTAATATAATGTTTTACTATATCGCCCAGAAAATTGTTTTTCGGCCCCCGAAATATAAATTGTTACTAATCGCCTCTCAACATGGAAAAACGCCCACATGGGGGCGATATCGCCCCCGTTGAGAAACACTGAGAAACGACTTTCTATTTGTGTTAGACACATGAAGGAAACAAAATTCCGAATGGACAGCACCTTGGTTTCATATAAAATGCCACCAACTATCATCGTTAGGTGGTTTTATCCACTCCACCACTGGTGGGTGTCGGATATTGGGATTAAATCTAAACTTTATATGTATTTCACACTTTTTAAATTTAGAAACAAAATTTAAACAAATTTATATTAATTATTCTCTCTTTTCAATTATTTTACTTTACTATTTGATTCCATTTAATGAAATTCTTATGAATCATTTATCCATTTCTGTTACTAATTATTTAATTAGTAATAGAATGGATATATGATTCTCAAATCAATGAAAAAGGTACAAAGATTAATCTTTTGATGATATGGGCATTTATGATTTAAACATGAGTGTTTAATTAGCTACATTAAATATTTAATATACCGGAAAATCGAAGCAGAATGTTCCAAGAATATCTGAGGGACATTCCAAATGAATTTTTCTATAACCACAGGACTCCAACAAGGATTACATTGTTTTTTTAAATGGGAGATTTCTACCTTGTTGATTTTTAGTAAAATCAAGTGCAACTGAGATTTTAATATTAATTATAATTAAGAAAAATTATGAGTACTGTTTGTATTTCGATTAAAATTAGAAAGTAAACTTATTTTCGTGGCTCCAAAAAATTTTATCGTTCAATCCAACATTAATTTGTATTTCTTTCATCAAGCATTTTTGTTTGTTGAAGGATGTCACAAATGTCCAAATTACCTTGGTAGTTTAGGATCCCAATGATGAAAATACATAAGTGTGACCTTTCGGGTCGGCACCTCCTTGGTGCCCTGTCAGGATTGACACCACCGTGTTTAACGGAACACGGAAGCCGAGACTGCGACTACGTCACACCTTCGCGCGAGCGGTCCCATACGTGGTCAGACGGATTCTTAATGTTAGATCGAGAGACAGCATGTGGAAGAGACTCGGAATACACTTAACAATTAACAAGCGTTTATTTAAAAATAAATTGGGTAAAGTGTTGTCGCGGAGAGAGAGTTCACATACAGTTTGCGTGGTGATAATTACCTTTGGTAATAGATATCCCAGTCAGGTCGTGTTGAATCGGAGAACAATGTAATAGTTCTTCTTATGGGCTTTTTCAGGATGTATCCAGGTGTGAAATATCCAGTCAAAACGTCCCTTTTGATTTACCCAGGCTCGATCGTGCACTAACACACACACAAAAAGGTTATCCTATGGGCGACTATTAAATGGGGACGACTTCTTTCCTCTCCAAGGACTAAAACGGCGACTAAGTGGACGCCAGTTCAGTGGGGACGCACGTTCTAATCTAACCTAATAAATTACCATAATTATTACCAATCAAATTATTAGAATAGGTTAGGTTAGGTTAGAACGTGCGTCCCCACTGTTTCCTTTTGTTTGCTGGAATCAGAGATGAGCCGCCATGACGGTATACGTATCTGGACTTTAACCGGCAAATAGGCGATATCTATCATCCTAATTAATTTTTTTTTCATTTTTACAACCTTATTAGTAAATTTTCTTCTTTTTAGATTTAAATTTACTAGTCTATTGTTATTTTGATATTTTCATTCAAAATCGCGACTTTGCTATTTCCGACTGGCGTCCTCTTAACCCATAAGTACCATTTCTGCTATCTCACAATAAGTTAATTTATTTTGCTGACAATAGCATTGTAATGAATTATATGTTTTGTGAACTTTTGTGAACAAACATATATTTAATCTACAGAAAAAATGTTAATTAAGTTCTACTAAGTATTTACATATTCACTTAAATATTTAGTTTAAAATAAACAAAATTGACTGAATGAAAAATTTAATTGAATTATTTAATTTGAACGTTTTTTATCTTTTTCAAAATATGATTTATAATGCTTAATCATTTCTGTTGAGATTCGTGGTTTCATAGACTCCAAAGTCTGTGTGAAGTGAGACCAAGTGATCTGTTCTGCATTAATATTTTCAGATAGTGTCCTCCTGCCGGCTTCTTGACACAATGCAACAATCTGAAAATGAAAGGTAACATTAAATATATACTTTTTCTATAGTTAACAATGCCATTATACAATATTGTCATAAAAAATTTATAATTTAGGATTTTCAATTTACATGTTTTTGTTGTGTTTCTGTATCTTTTAAAAATTAAAGTTCTTGAAATATTTATAAAATATTTCAAGAAGCATGACTTTTGTGAATGAACATATATTTAATCTACAGAAAAAATTGAAATTAAGTTCTACTAAGTATTTACATATTATATAGTGTTCTTCAGGTTAACATAAAGGTTATAAATATATAGGTTTAATTAATTAAAACTCAGGACAATTATAATTAAAATTCACCAGTTCAGAAGTAACATAACAGAAAAAACACTAAAGTACAGTAAAAGTGTCTTGGAAATTCATCCCCTTTCACACCTTAAGACTGTATAACATAGTCTGAGGGGACTACAGCAAAGTCATTTTTTATTTTGAGGTTATCATCTGTTTTAATAGGCAAAAAAGAACATTAAAAAAATCTCTCTGTTCTTCAACATATAGCTATTCCTTATATAACATGGCATTCTTACAACATAATTTTATACTGGTAAGATATAATAAGTTTGCACTTCACGCCGACATATACTAGTATTAGAACACTTACGTGCAATGGTGTTACAGGAGTGGAGTTCCAGATACGGAAATTTATCTGACTTTTGGAGAAAGGTCTTATCCGCTAGCACTTTCAATAGTGTAAAACTACCATCATCAGGCGGTACATAGAATTCGATAGTTTAAGCTTTCCAAACGATATTTCGATGTTTTTACAAAATTTCAATATTGAATATTTCGAACGATATTTCTTAAATAATCAAAACACCTTAGTAATTCCAGCAACGAAGTATTTAATAAAATAAAAGCGTTTTCGACTATATTTAATAGTCTTCTTCAGTTAAGCCTCTTTAAAACAAACGTAAAATAGAATGCAAGCAATACAACGGTTTAAAAATTAAAATTAATTACGTAAAACATAAATAAAACGTTAAAAAAACGTAAAAAATTATAAATAAAACATTAAGAAATTAATCATGGTAAACAAAAAAATAATACAATAATAATAATTAATCATCGTGGTAAAAAGATTTTCATGTGCAGGATAGACTATCTGTGTCTCTATGGTTGATGCATCCTTTGTTAATATGCGCCTTATAAATTTCAAGTTTTTCAATATGTTTAAGGACTTGTTTGTTGGTGGCTGTCCTAATTATGGATGCTTTGTCCCAATGTACTGTACATTAATACATCTTGATGTTTAGCAAAGGCTGCAAGGGTGGTGCTGTCCACATTTTTAGTAATAGAATACTTATGTTCTTTAATCCTCTGTTTTAAAAGTCTCATGGTGGCACCAACGTAAACGAGTTCTGAATTAAAACGGCAGTCACTTAAAGGAATAGAATAAACTCCTGTACTATTGTTACGGTTTCCTTTCTTCTTATCATTTCGTAAAATTCTATAAATCGTCGGATTACGNAGTTTGTTCTAATTTACATTTGGGACCCCAAAAAGAGCAATGTGAAGACAACTTTTTATCATATGTAAACAGAAAATATAATTTTTACAACCTCATGAGTATTATATTAATCTGTTGATAGATGAAACACACTTGAAAAGAGTATTTTGATTACAAAAATGGAAATTTGGTTGGCATGTCAAATAATGATACATTGGTAACTGCAAATGCAGCTCAAGTGTTCATGATAGCTAGTATATTAAGTAATTTCAAAGATGTTGCTCACATTTTAGGAGTCAATAAAGTGACGGGTAATTGTTTGCATCAGTGGATCAGAAAAATTATTCTAGGACTGGAAGAAATAGGATTTAAAGTTGTTTCTGTCATTTCAGATAATAATGCTATTAATAGAAAAGCCATGTCTTTATTTGCTGATCCTCCAGATGTTACTTTTATGTATAAACACCCTAAAGATATGACTAGAACTTTATTCTATGTTATTGATCCAGTGCATATAATGAAATGTATATGGCATAACTGGTTGAAGCAAAGAGAGCAGACCTCCATGGTTTATCCGACATTTGAGGGAGATGATAATGTCATTCATTATGCTTGTTTTGATACTTTATTAAAAATGTATGATCTCGAACATGATAAATTGGCAAAGTATTGCCATGGTCTTTCATTAAAGGCTTTGCGTCCCAATGCTTTTGAAAAACAAAACGTGAAACTGGTATTGCAAATTTTCAATGATCTCACTTCAGAGTCTCTTCTAACTCTAGGCCCTAATCATTTGCTTCCCCACTATAGAGAAACAGCTGTTTACATCAACATCTTCGTAAAATGGTGGAAAATTGTTAATGTTAAAACACCTGGCAAAGGAAATAGGTTAAATGATGATTTCATGTGTCCCATAACAGATTATGCAGACGACATCAAAATTGTATATCTTAAAGAAATGTTACAATGGCTAGAAAAATGGAAGAAAATGAATATAAGTTATCCAAAAGGCTCATTGACGAAAGAAACCCATTTGGCTCTAACACAAACTACAGAAGCACTTATACATTTGTCCAAATATTGTTTAAGTGAGATGAATTGTTCATACTTTTTACCTGGCAAGTTTCAAACTGACCTCCTAGAAGATCGGTTTGGACAGTACAGACAATTAAGTGGTGGCCAATATAATATCAGTATTAGACAAGTGTATGAAGTTGAGAAGAAACTTCGTTTACAATCCGTGATCAGATTAAACTTAAAGTCAGATGTTTTTGGTGCAATAAGCTTCAGTGAAATAAAAGATGTCTTCTCCGAGCCTCCACAAATTCTCAAGGACATAGTGGTACCTCCCTTATTTAATGAAATTTATGTAACTTTGGCAGAAATTGAAAATTACAATGAAGATTTGCCTATTTTGACATACATTGCAGGGTACTGTTGCTATTCCGTACTGAAAAAGTTAAAATGTGAATTTTGTAAAGATATGTTGGTGTTAAGCGAGGTTTTGGAAGATGAAGAATTGTATTCCTTAATAACAAATGTTAGTCGAGGTAAACTCCTCTTTCCTCAGTCTCATGTCATCAGTGTTGTTGTTGTTACATATTTAATTATGAAAAAAATTTGTGAAAAATTTGAATCAGATTTTCTCAAAGTACAGAACCAGAGAGAGTTAGTTACATGTCTCACTTTAAATTCAATTGTCTCCAGTGAATTACTTTGGGAAGGATCCTGTTGTGAAAATTTTCATTTTCCTGAAGATATTTGTAAGAAAATAGTATGGATTTCAACAAACATCTTTTTAAATAATTACTGTAGAAAGAAAAATCAGACCATTACCAAAGATGCAGTACCTAGGAAGAAAAAGATTTTTAGTAAATCCAATTAAAGTTAGTAAAATAAAAGCATTCTATCAAATAATGCTGTGGCTGTATGTTGGTGACTGTTGAGTAACTGCTCGATTTATGGTTATGTGAACGAAAATTCTAAAAAATATCATACAAAATTATTTGAAGAATGACATCAGTTATATTCTTGAACAGCAATAAGACATTTTTTATGTTAATAATTTCTAGGTTAATATTTAGTACTCTTTTTATTAAATATATCAAATACAAACACATTGTGAGTTCCATATCTATTTCTTCTTTTTATTCTATATCAAATCCATTAATCAGCCGAAGCTTTTCGACATACATCTGATGTCTTTATCCAGGGAGAATTTAAAAGTGTAAAATGTTAAAAATTGTAAATTGAGTTTTTGTATAAAATTCTACCTTGGTAGATAATAGAATGAGAAGTGCAAATAAAAACTTATAATTTACTTGTCTATAGTTCGTATATTTAATACACTTATTATTTAATAATACTTTTAAAATTTAAAATCTCAAAGAAAAATTAAACTGTACTTTTTGTTATTACACAACATTACGATAACTCTAAATAATAAACAGGAGGAAATAATCTAACAAGTAAGTTGAACCCCCGTGCTTCCCTGCCGGTATCGAGTTGTTATGACTACTCTTGTAAGCTCTACTTTCGAGAGCACAGGCCTGATTATCTAGGTGGCGTTGGTAAAAGTGTCTTGGAAATTCATCCCCTTTCACACCTTAAGACTGTATAACATAGTCTGAGGGGACTACAGCAAAGTCATTTTTTATTTTGAGGTTATCATCTGTTTTAATAGGCAAAAAAGAACATTAAAAAAATCTCTCTGTTCTTCAACATATAGCTATTCCTTATATAACATGGCATTCTTACAACATAATTTTA